ACATTATTGGTGGGTGACAGGAAGTGATAAGAGCTGATAAGTAAGATACCATACCGGGGCTTAGAAGGGGAGTGTCACCAACTCCATAGCACGGGCTACAGCAGCGATGGGGCATTGGTTTCAAGAGGTAAGATAGGGTGCAGGATGGGAACATTATTGGTGGGTGACAGGAAGTGATAAGAGCTGATAAGATAAGATACCATACCGGGGCTTAGAAGGGGAGGGTCACCAACTCCACAGTGCGGGCCACAGCAGCGATGGGGCGTTGGTTTCAAGAGGTAAGATAGGGTGCCGGGCAGGAACATTATTGGTGGGTGGCAGGAAGTGATAAGAGCTGATAAGATACCATACCGGGGCTTAGAAGGGGAGGGTCACCAACTCCATAGCGCGGGCCACAGCAGCGATGGGGCGTTGGTTTCAAGAGGTAAGATAGGGTGCAGGATGGGAACATTATTGGTGGGTGGCAGGAAGTGATAACAGCTGATAAGATACCATACCGGGGCTTAGAAGGGGAGGGTCACCAACTCCATAGCGCGGGCCACAGCAGCGATGGGGCGTTGGTTTCAAGAGGTAAGATAGGGTGCAGGATGGGAACATTATTGGTGGGTGACAGGCCATGATAACAGCTGATAAGATACCACAAGGGGGCTTAGAAGGGGTTAGTTGCCTAATTCGTAACGTCGGTCACAGTAACGACCGGGCGTTAATTCCAAGAGGTAGATAGGGTGCAGGATGGGAACATTATTGGTGGGTGACAGGCTATGATAACAGGTGATAAGATACCACAAGGGGGCTTAGAACGAGAGGGCCACCAACTTCATAGCGCTGTTCACAGCGATGGTAGAGCGTTGCTTCCAAGGAGTGATGTAGGGGGCAGGATAGGATCATTGTTGATGGGTGGCAGGAAGTGATAACAGCTGATAAGAAAGCATAAGGGGCTTCAGAAGAGGAGGGTCACCAACTTCATTGCGCGGACCACAGCGACGGTAGAACGTTCCAAGAAGTAGAATAGAGGGCAGGATGGGAACATTATCGGTGGGTGGCCGGAAGTCATAACAGCTGATCGGCTGATAAGATACCATAGTTGGAGAGGAAGCCTTAAAAATTCATAACAGGAATTGTGGTAACACGGGATCTGCTTCTAGCACGCACTCGGGAATTGGTTTTACGAGACAAGTTGTGTGAACTAGATTTTGTAGCCCAGAATCAATGGGCAAAGCCGTGGTGAGTTAAGATGTTTTTATTCTTCAGCGATGTAGTTGGAACGACCGCTAAATCCACGATTTCGACAAAAAGTAATAGCTCAAATTGTTTGCCATTGAGGAATTATAAGAGCCAACAACAGACAGATATGTGAAAGCTGCTCAGTGGAAGTACTAGGACGTAATTTCACTAGGATTTTGATATTGTTACCATCGAATCTCTTTCAACCGCTAGGCTGTCCTATTTCCAACAAATGGTGGCTGTTCTCAGATTTTGATAAGCACTGGCAAATGTTCATTAAAAAAGAGAAATGCAATACAATCGGCCGTATTTCGAAACCTGGGAATTAAGCCAAGTGTTAGTGGGCAACACAGTAATCCCGACAGTGACTAGTGTTTAAT